TGTTTTGTTTGCATGCATGTGTGTTGTGTGTGTTCTGTGTGCATTGTGCAAAATTAGGGGAAGTCTCTGAAGGAGGAGAAGCTAGCCCTGCATGTAAAGAGGAGACACTTCTATAAAAATTATTTGGTGGCACTGGGTCTAAGTTGCAGCATGAGGAATCTTCAGTTTCATTACAGCATGTGGGATCTCTAGTTGCAGCATGTGGAATCTAGTTCCCAACCAGGGGTGAAACTTCCCCTCACCCCCAACTGCACTGGAAATGCGGAGTCTTAGCCACTGGACTTCCAGGGAAGTCCCAGGGGCAGACACTTTCTAAGCAAAGTTAGCAAACACAAGGTGCCTACTGCAGCGAGTAGCAACAGGTGGCTCTCTAGAATGGGGGTTGTGACCAGTCAGACTGTGGGAAGGATCAGGCCAGATCAGTCTTTGTCAGCCCTGCTCATCCTGCTGGACTTTCCGATGACACCTGAAGGACTGAGATCCAGAGTTTATGGTTGTTTCTTTGAGTGGGAATACATTTCATATTTTGCTCCCTTCTGCACTCATCTCTTTGAGTTTCAGAACTTGTAGTCATTAAACAATGCAGTTTTCTCTTTGAAATCATGCTCATTTTCACCTGTTTGCTTTTTAAGACAAGAAACTCTCTCTGGAGATCTGCCTTCTCCAGTCTCAAATTAAGCTTTCGCATCACTGACATCTCACCTACTTTCTCTTTCTTATGTATGTGTAGCCTCTTCTCCCCTTTCTTCCAAAATTAGGTGTAACGTGTTTTGTTTTTTTGTTTTCCTATCTTGCTAGGTTTTTTAAAAAAGAATGTAACAAATGTACCTATTTGCATAGAGGCTCGTAGATCTAACCAGGTTCAACTTTATGCCATTTTTGATGCATATGAGACTGCCTAGAGATTGTTTGTTTTCACTTGCTTCTGGTTGTTGCACCAAGTTAAAACTGGACCTGTGAAACTCTGAAATTCATTTAAGGAATTGAAAATTTAAACCCACAGGTTGCTATTTCTGTAGTATCTGTATGCTTTTTCGTCATAGAATTGGGTGAAGAATCACATTTTCACTTCCCTTGTCATAACAAGAGCTTATTCCTGTCTCACAGCTTGAATCCAGTGTTGGGAATTTAGCAGAACTGACTATGTAAATCTAATATAATATTTATTAACTCACTTTTTCAGTTGAAGACACTGAGTTGGCGATCTTGGCGCCAAGCAAGTGTTAGGAGCTTCTTATGTCTAGAAAGGCCTAGAAGACGCCATCATTCCTTAATTCCTGAAATAGTGCCAGGGACCTCTTAGTGACTAGCAACTTGCCCTCCTGTCTGGACCACTCTGGTCTATGTAGGCTGCCACGCCCTTCCCCTTCCACTTCCGGAGTCCATTCTACAGAGTTTCATTGACCAGTTACAACAGGATATAACTAACTACTAAAGAGAACCCTTACCTTTATATAGGAAGCCCAAGAATTGCTTAGGCTAATTAATGTCCGACAGTGACTAATGTTTCTGAGAACTTGCCAGATGTATTACTTTAGTCTCTGAAGAGATTCAGGTATCCTGTTAATGGGCCAGGTGTTCATTTTCTTGGGCTATTCTCTACAAAGAGCTTGAGCTGTTATTTTCCTCTTCTTAATGAATCTCCATGTTCCCCACCCCCACTTTTTTTTTACAAAATGCATTCTGTGACCATGGGTAGATTAACCAGAATTTTAAAAATATTTCTAGCCCATTTTACAAAGCAAAAGAATACATTTTTAGTGGTAACAAATCTGCCTACCCTTGCAGGAGATGTAAGAGGTGAGGGTTCTATCCCTGGGTCAGGAAGATCCCCTGGAGGAGGACATGGCAGCCTACCCCAGTATTCTTCCTAGGAGAATCCCGTGGACAGAGGAGCCTGGCGGGCTACAGTCCCTGGGCTCGTAAAGAGTCAGACACGACTCTAAGCATCTGAGCACAGCCCATTTTTATGAAGCAAAGAATATGTTTAAAAAGAGACAAAAGCAGACTGGCACATTATCAAAATAACTAGCCTTAAATTTTCCTTTAACTTGGGCTTTAAATATTGTGCTTCCCTAAGTGAAGTATGGGATTGGACCCAACATCTTCCTTCAGAGGGGAGAGAAATGGGTAGGAATAGCTACCTACACTTCACTGAGTAAAGCGCCAGACCACCCTGCAAGATCAGCCAGGAGGGTGTTCACTGGGGAAGAGGGGCCCAGAGTCCCCGCCCCGTGTGGCCTTGGCCACCATGAGCCCTATCTTCTCGCCCGTCTGAGAATCCCTGTGCTTCAAAGAAAGCACAGCATAAGCCACTGTATCCGTGCTCAGCAAATACACTGAACACATTGTGAGATATTTTTGTTTATTTTTTTAAACTTTTCATTTGTTCCTGAGTTTTCTTGTCCTATTACAGTACATGTAAATCATATGTTACAGTTATTGGGGAGACGAGGGAAGAATATCTTAGCCTTGTACCATTTTCAGCTTCTCGTGGTGGTGGTTTTGTTTTTTTACTTTAGTAAGTTTTAGAATGTTTATTTGTTTACTTACTTATTTGACTATCTCGGGTCTTCCTTGTGGCTCGGGGACTCGTCTCAGCGTGAGGATTCATCATTGCGTCTTTCTGGACCTTTTCTTGGGGTGCTTGAACTCTCTCTAGCTGTGGTACGTGGGCTTAGTTGCTCTGTGGCATGTGGGATCTTAGTTCCCCAACCAGGGATGAAACCCATGTCCCCTGCATTGCAAGGAGGATTCTTAGCCAATGGACCACCAGAGAAGTCCTCATTTTATTTATTCTATTTTTTTTTTTTCTTTTTGGCTGCACCACTTAGCATGTGAGTTCTTAATTTCATGACCAGGGATCAAACCTGAGCCCCCTGCAGTGGAAACGCAGAGTCCTAACCACTGGACTCCCAGGGAGTCCCATGGTGCTTGTTTTAGATATATGTCCCTGCCTTCTTTTCTTTTCTTTCCATGAAATGTTTATTGTAGCTAACATCTGTGTCCACGATTGAATGGGTAAATAACACAGTGAATATATGACTAGTTTGCTACTGATTTTTTTACATGCTTCTGAAGTGGCACCTCATACTTAAATATCCAGCAAACATATTTGAAACAACAGATGGCTCATTAATGGATATTAATATATCTTTCAAAACTTCACTTGGGCAGCAAAACGATTTTCGTGTGTTTGTAACTTTAACCATCAGGATTTAAATAGGACTCTTCCAGCATATGAATCTGCAATTTAACTGGCAAGCAGTGAATTCTGGAAGAATGGACATTTCATTCCCACTTTTCCAGGCCTTTTATCGTGCTAAATCACAAGTCAGGGGCCTGACAATGAAATCCTTTTTGTATCTGGGTTTAAAAGGTTTTAAAAGTCGAACTTAATGCTCTTTACAGTGAAGTATGTTCTGTAGGTGCCAAATAAATTTGAACACAAGCTTGTTGCCTTTGTTATTGCTCGTAAAGAGAGATTTACTACCTGAGATTACCCTGTTCCTGCAATGACATCACCGACTCATGTAAGGATTACTGTCTCTATGAAAACCGAGGATCACAGACTCTGTGAGCACAGATCCTAGTGGCTTTAGGTGCATCAGCTTATGGGGTGTATGGGTTTATCGGCGTGGATTCAGAGGTGTTCAGTGTTGCATTGTGCAGTATTGTGTGGCTGTGATTGTGTATTTGTATCATTTGTTTATTCACATTGGGTAGGGGGTGTCTGCTGTGTCCCAGGCAGGCCATTAGAACCCAGGAGACCAGAACTCAGTCAGACACGTCTCCTGCCCTCCTGATGATTATGACTTGATACAGGAGAAGTAAGCCAAGACTTAAAAGAGGACAAGACAGCTAATGTTGTTGCCTTGGGCTTGGAGTGTGGGTGCAGGGCATGCGCAGTGTTGCCAAGAACATTTTTCCTGGTGTTGTGGTAGCTCAGACCTGAGTGGTCTAGGAGAGACTTGGGGTGAAGGGGGTGTTCTTGGCAGAAGGAACATCTCAAGTAAAAGTGTTCAGTGTTACTGCTATGGGGTTCTGTCTCTTGTGCTGCATATGTCATTCATTGGGCTTTCCTGCTCTTAATCTGGTGGATTCTGTGTTTCCAACATACATTTTTATGAAAGGCCAGATTTCAGTTAATCAGTTTGCAAATATTAGCCACCAAAATAACAGCCTTCTGTATTGTTTTTGAATTTTTCTATGTGTATTTCTGGCCGAGCAGGGTCTGCGTTGCTGCACAGGCTCTCCTCTCGTTGTGGCGAGCGGGGCCCACTCTAGTCGCAGCACACGGGCTTCTCATCGAGACGGCTTCCCTTGTGCAGCTCGGGCTCTTCGTGCACGCGCCGCTGCAGCCGCGGCCTGCGGGCTCAGTAGTTGTGGCTCCGGCCTCTGGAGCACAGGCTCCATACCTGTGGCACGTGGGCTTAGCTGTCGCACAGCACGTGAGGTCCTCCCGGGTCAGGGGTGGAACCTGCGTCTCCTGCGTTGGCAGGCAGATTCTTTACCACGGAGCCAGCGGGGAAGCCCCCAGCCTTCTGTGTTTTCGTTGCAGCAATGCACGTGTCTGCGGAAGCACGGGCACAGCTAAGCCCTTGGTGGACAAGTGGAGGACTTGGAACCACTCTTCCTCACCTTGGATGCCATGCCGTCTCCTGCCTTTAAGTTGGCGAGCTTAACCTACAAATCTCCTTAGTGATTTAGCTCTAATGGGCTATCATTTCAGGGTTAAAAAAAGTGATAAAGGTGAAAAGGAGGGAGAATGACAGTTACATCTTACAGTAAAAGATGAACTTAAATATTGAGTCTTTTCTCTTCATTGGTCTTTCAACGTGGCCACATCAGGGAACCCAAGCTTCCTAAGAACAACTCTGCTTTTCTAAAACAAACTCCTTGAAATTGAAAGCTGAGTGCGTTGTATTTATTTACATATCTTGTTTTTACAGAAAACCTTGTCTGTAACTCTGTGTGTGTGTTCACTTCCCTGACTGCAGCTCCTGCGGAAAAGACATATAGGAAATGACATCGTGACCATTGTCTTCCAAGAGCCCGGAGCACTTCCTTTTACTCCGAAAAGCATCCGGTCCCACTTTCAACACGTCTTCGTCATCGTCAAAGTACATAATCCATGTACCGAAAACGTGTGTTACAGGTGAGTCAGCCGCCCCTGGCGCTCCATGCTCCCAGAGTTGTTCCAACAGGTCCTCTTTTCCCTAAATATCTTTGTTTTCCAATTATTCTTTCTCAGCACCTAATTATCCTTTTTTTTTTCTCCCTAATTACATTTCCCATAGTCATCACTCAGGTGCTTTCTGTACGAAGTAATTGCCTTCTTCCCATTTTGAAACAGTGAGATTCCTAGAAGCTCATGAGTGTAGGTGACACCTTTCCTCAATATTCAGGACATCATCCAGCCCTGCCACGCCATCACTTGGTTGATAGCAGCCCCAGAGGGGGATGATGCGGCCACGTCAGTGCTTCCCTGAAAGAAACATATGGTGGTGGTGCAATATCTCTTCCTGTCCAAGGTCTTGGAAACACCCACATCTGTGGGGCTCTCAAGACGGGAGTTTGACGCTTTGGTGCTTTCGAAAGGCCAGCCAAGTGCCCAGGAATCCCGGGACAGTCTGACGGGGCCTGCCTTTCCTCCAGCTCTGCTGTTCCTCAGGAAGCAGATGTCATGGAAGTGCCTGTCTAGTGGGATGTTGTTAAAAGAGCGGGTCTCTCACCTGAGTGAGGATCCAGTCCTCCTGCCGTGTTTACAACTTAGCTTATTTTTGTGTGTTAGTCGCTTAGTCATGTCCAACTCTTTGTGACCCCATGGACTGTAGTGCACCAGGCTCCTCTTCCCATGGGATTCTCCAGGCAAGAACACTGGAGTGGGTTGACATTTCCTTCTCCAGGGGATCTTCCTGACCCAGGGGTCAAACCCAGGTCTCCTGCGTTGCAGGCAGATTCTTTACCACCTGATCTATAGAGAAGTCCTTATTTTGGGGGCCCTTCAATTCCTTCTCTGAAAACTAAGGATAACAGTATTGACTTCAGTGTGTAGTTAAAAAAAATGAATAGCAGGAACTATGCCCGACACTTGTTAACGTCCCTGGTGCTCATGCTGAAGCAATGGTCACACTTGAGCTGCCTCCTGGGCCTGGGTGGGGACCAGGCCTGGGTGTGTGTGAGAGCTGGAGGGGCTGTGAACTGCGGTCGTACCCTTCTGGGGGCGAGGATACTGGCCTGTGTGTTAGGTGCTGCCAGCTTGCCTCCTTGCCCCCAGCCCCTACTGCCCTCTCCATCCGCATGGTTCCGCTATGATGATTCTTGTATACACCTTCGTTTACAACCCCTAGCCTGAATGCTCAGAACGACTTTTTATTTTTAAAAGTGATATTTGAAAAAAAAAGAAAGACATCTAGCCTGTATAAAGGATATGCGCTTAGGTGCTCAGTCATGTCCGACTCTTTGCGAACCCATGGGCTGTAGCCCGCCAGGCTCCTCTGTCCACGAGGATTCTCCAGGCAAGAATACTGGAGTGGGTAGCCATGCTCTCCTCTAGGGGATCTTCCCAATGCAAGGATTGAACCTACGTCTCCTGCATTGCAGACAGATTCTTTACCATCTGAGCCACCAGGGACGATATGCCTAAATCCAATAACGTTAGTGCAAACATGCTCATTTGGCTTATTCTTCTGGGATCTCCCCCGTGAATGGTAATTATAAAGAATCATCTTAAATGAACTTCCCTAATGGATTGGAAACATGAGCCTAGGGCGTTCTTGTATTTGGTGTTATTTTATCTGCTGCTATTTTTAGGTCAAATTGGGTATTTTTAATTACTTTCTATTTTTAGTTTATTCTTCTATCATGAGGTGGTTGATTAGCACAAAAAAATCTTAAAAGATAAGTAATACCTTTTCATTTTTATTTCTTTAGAGCTTCCTGGGTTTAATTAGATTACTGGGGAGCAGGGATGCCTTTGATATAGATCTTGCTTATAAACAAAGTGGCTTGGGTTATGTTTTCTGTGGTAAAAGACAATGTATACAAATGGTTCAAAGACAGGGTCACTGCCTTTTGAGAAACCACATGTTATTGCTAAGTTATCATTTACTAATGAGGTTCAGGTGTAAAGCAGCAGAGTGCTTCAAGGTTTTAAAAGTGCCTCATAAACATTCATGGGTTTCCCATGTGGCTCAGTGGTAAAGAACCTGCCTGCCAATGCAGGAGACGTGGGTTTGATCCCTGAGTCAGGAAGATCCCCTGGAGGAGGAAATGGCAAGCCACTTCAATAGTCTTGCCTGGAAAGTCCCATGGACAGAGGAGCCTGGCGGGCTACAGTCCATGGGGTCGCACAGAGGCGAACATGACTGAACACACACACAGGACAGAGTTTGCTCATCTGTCCCAAAGACAGGCAGTCCTTCCCCGTCCTTCATACTAGCTGAGGCCCCGCCTGGACCGTCTTATAGCTCATCTTCCCAGAGACAGTTAACTCTGTTAAAGGGTGTGCAGAATATGGCAAAGGTGGGAGATCCCTGGAGACTATGGTCTATTTAAAGTCCCACCGGCTACATCCCAGAAGAAGATTTCACACCTGTTTTCATTTCTTAACTCATTTCTTCCAGGATTTTCTACAGTGAAGAAAGTGAAGCATAGATGACTTCCTTTGTTTATCTGAACACAGAAAATATCAACCTGGGCAGATGTGGGGTTGGTTCTCATTCTTGGTCTGAAGAAGCTGCTCAGTAGTTGGGGAGTAGATGCTCGGGGGCGGGGGGTTCATTCTTTCACTCACTCCAGTCTTTCATCTGCTAATTTATTAATTCACTCTTATTCCAAAACAGATTTGAGACAGTGAAAGCTTCTGTCTGATACAAGGGAACATTATTGGTTTTACCATGTTAAGATGATTGCTATCACTCTATGTTTGAAATATCATAAAACTTTGTTTCCATAAAATCTTCATTTAGACTTCCAAAATGTGACCAAGTGAGCATTTCCTTAAAAAAAGGGATATTCAAAATTTTGGCTCTATAAGGATGGTCACTGTGCCCAGTAGCTGGCCAGCAGGGCGGATCTCACTGTCAGCTGTTGGAGGGTCACTGCCTCTCGGTGGTGATCAGCCATAGAATTTAAAGAGCGCCAACCTGGCTACACATCCGTTGCCCTTGCCTTAGTCAGCTCGCACAGTCATGGTGCAGACCAAAGAACTGGTGGTTTATATGGCAGACATTCGTTTCTCTCAGTTCTGGAGGCTGCAAGTCCGAGGTCATGGTGTTGGCAGGCTTGGTTCTTCCTGAGGCCTCTCTCGCGCCTTGCAGATGGTCATCTTCCTGCTGTGTGTTCACATGGTCTCTCTTCTGTGTGTTTGCATCTCTGGTTATCTTTCTGCGTGTTCATGTTTCATTTTATAAGGACACTTGTTAGATTGGATTAGGGCCCACTGTTACGATCTCATTTTGACTTAACTGTCTCTTCAAAGAAAAGACTCAGTCTCCAAACATAGCCACTTTCCCAGTTACTGGGGTTTTGGACTTCAGCATACAAATTTGAAGGGAGGCTACTCAGCCTATAACTCCCCTCCCCTGCACCTACTAAATTTGAAAGTTTTGCTTAAAAACAAAGAGCAACTTGATATCCAGAGGTGTGGAAAAGAAGAGGCTGTGAAGTAGACGGCTTCAGTTGAAAGTGTGGTCAGCAGTAACTTTTCTGAAGGTAACTGTTATGGCATCACAGTTCAGCTTGTTTCTCTTTTTCCTCCCTCAGCGTTGGGGTTTCTAGGTCGAAAGATGTGCCACCATTTGGTCCACCAATTCCCAAAGGTGTAACTTTCCCCAAGTCAGCAGTATTTCGGGACTTCCTTTTGGCGAAAGTCATCAACGCAGAAAACGCAGCCCACAAGTCGGAGAAGTTTCGAGCAATGGCCACTCGGACGAGGCAGGAGTACTTGAAGGACCTGGCGGAGAACTTTGTCACAACTGCCACCGTCGATACCTCCGCAAAATTCAGCTTCATCACTCTGGGCGCCAAGAAGAAGGAGAAGGTGAAGCCCAGGAAGGATGCCCATCTGTTCAGCGTGGGAGCCATCATGTGGCACGTTGTGGCGAGAGACTTTGGCCAGTCTGCGGACATCGAGTGTCTCCTTGGGGTTTCTAATGAGTTCATAATGCTGATCGAGAAGGATTCCAAGAACGTGGTCTTTAACTGTTCCTGCAGGGATGTCATCGGGTGGACATCTGGGTTAATGAGCATCAAGGTGTTTTATGAACGAGGAGAATGCATCCTTCTGTCCTCAGTGGACAGCTGTGCTGAAGACATCAGGGAGATTGTCCAGCGCCTGGGCGTAAGTACAGGTTTTGTTTTTCCACCACCCTTAGGCCTTCAACTTCATATTCATAACTTCCGCTGTGGAAGTTCCCCCCCAGATGTGTTACCTGGGAAAATACGCTTTCTCATGGGTAGAACTGAGTTTAAACACTGTCCTCTTGAGCGGTTGTCCTTGTGAATCCATGAATGGTGGAGAAGCATCCATTAACAATTGGTTAGAGATGAAAAGTGAAGCCAGCTTTCCAAAGGGAATAATGGGACTTATTTTTATAGTATCTGAAGGAAGGACAGGAGAATTGACTAGATGTTATGTGTGTTTGTAGAGCTTTGCATGACAGTACCTTACAGGAGGAGGTTAATAGACATAGAATCACCGTTGACCACATTGATGGTCAGAGTAAGCCATATTTGCCCCTTCAACTCTGTGCATTTTTATGCAGTATTTCTGTTTAGTCTGCCAGATTAAATATGTTATTAATCTTGCAGCCAGTTTCTTGCAGAGGTTTTATAGAATTACCTAGTAAGTTAGAAAGATTTAAAAGAAAAAGTCATAAAGAGATTGTTATTTGGGGTATGAAACAAAACCCTTCAGTGATGCCCATGGTATTTAGCAGTTGTATTTATAATTCTTAGTATAACAAGGGGAGATACAGATTTTAGTTTGAGTATATACAATAGAATTATAAGAATAAATCAAATAAAAGAACAAAATATGATTTGACAAAAGAATTTTTCATGTGTAAATCTTCCCCCAAGGGGATGTGTATTTGATTCATTAGAAAAGATTTAGTCAGTTATGGATCATGAGAAAAAGGAGAAATTATACCCATTTCCTGCCCTCTTTCCTGCCACCAAATATAAATCTTTTGTTATTCCAGACTACATAGAAGAGACAATGCAATCAAGGCAGTGTCTGCTGGCTTTGGAGAAATAATATCATTATTTGCAGGCACTCTTTACAGTGTTCAGCAGTATTGAGGGTGTATGTGCGCAAACCACGATGTGATTTGGGGATGATTAAGTGTGTGATCAGTGTATGTATCTGGAGAATTGAATTATCTGGTGAGTCTCAGGACATGTGCTTTTGGTAATCCTGGAAATACTTCTTAATTCAGAGACCCACTGAGTCATTATAATCTGTGCTCTGGAAAATACAACACAAACAATGTCCCTTCACCAGCCAGCAAAATGCACGTCCCAGAGGGTCTGATACATTCACTATTCCAAGGTACCTATTCTGCCATCTTTCTAGAAAAGTGACTGTATGACTAAGCTGCCTGAGAGCTGGAATATATTTGAGGAAATATTGAGTTAACCAAAAAGTTCCTTTGGATTTTTCCATTAGATATTGCAGAGAAACCTGAATGAATTTTTTGGCCAATCCAATATGCTGTATCTAGGATGACTTGTAGCGGGAGATGGTAGAAATAAACCAAGCCAAAGACTGTTGGGGGCTTAGGACATAAGGCTGGCACCAGGCAGGAGAAGTAGAAATGGAAAGGAAGAAGATGAAGCTCTCCTAGAAGAGAGATTTGGAAGGGGCACTGTTGGACAGATGGTGAACTCTGCATTTTCTAGTGGTGAAAACAGGAGTGCCTGTTATGCAGGTAGAGACACAGGTGGGAAATGAGCACTCCTGCCTGAAGGGACAAGCAGGCCCGGCCACTCTCCGAAGAGCCCGGGCCTGGATGAATGCTCTGCTGTTACCATCTTGAAACTCAGAAATTTTTGTCTAAGGGGCCGTACATTTTAATTTTGCACCAGATTTCATAAATTATGTAGCCAGTCCCAGGTTCGTAGGTAGGAGGCCATCATGTGATTATTGATCATGTAATTATGTGAGGAACTCCAAGTCAGTGAGAGCATGATCCTTCAGCCTTTATAAATGTTAAGGAGCACGGAACAGAAGGGAGAAAGAAACTGCAAAAAGTAGGAGACGTGGCAGGTGGTTGGAAGAAATAAGAGGAAGAGACAGAACATGTAGGACTCAGGAAAAGCTTGACCTTTCACTCTTCAATCTGATATGTGGATGTTAAATTTCAACTGATAATTATGTTCCTATCGAAAAGAAGGCCAGGCACATGTCCTATGTGGTCTTTTGGTCAGCGAGGTTAGTTGAAACAAAGCTGAAAAAAGAAAGAAAAATGTATTCAGGTTGTATATATTACAAAAGCACTTGTTCAACAATTTTGAGTTAGTTCAGTTCATAACTTTGGAAACTTCAGTCTTTCAAAACTTCACCACTAAGCCCAGCAATCCTTTTCCCCGTTTTCCTACGCCCCAGACCGTCACCGCACCTTTGAGAGACTGATCGGCAGTGTGAGCACTGGGGTGGTAACCATGGCAATGCCGCCACATGGGTGATAACCTGCACCAGTCTGGGTCCCACAGCTGTATATACAGTCAGAGGTCTTACTAAATAGGAATCTGTGTATTCAGAGCATGTTTCATGGAGAATGTATTTTTAAAACAGAAACTTCACACATGAGCTCTGTGCTTTGGGGAATACGGGCATGATACCTCCCGGTTTTAAATTACCCACAAGCAAGTGATGCCTTGGTCATCCAAGAGCTTCTTTGGTGGCTCAGTGGTGAGGAATCCACCTGCCAATGCAAGAGACACAAGTTCGATCCCTAGGTTGGGAAGATCTCCTGGAGAAGGAAATGGCAACCCACTGAAGTATTCTTGCCTGGGAAGTCTTACGGACAAAGGAGCCTGTCAGACTATAGTCTGTGGGGTTGGAAATAGTCCAACACAACTTAGCAACTAAAAAACAATGACAGCATGTCATCAAATTATATCTTCAGTGACCCCATGTTTCTCTTTCCATTCATGTGGGCTATTCTCAGTATGAACTTTTGAGGGTGGCGTTACTAATTATTGGTGCTTTAGATTACTTAGTGAGACACTTCCTGCAGGAGTGCCTTTCTGCATGCTGCCCTTGTCCAGAGACAGTAAGGAAGCTGGCTGGCTGGCCTACTTTTGATCTGAATGGTCCTTGCCACCTAGGCAAGCACGGGCAGGCAGTCCCAGGAGAGGGGCCCCAGGGTTCAGAATAGGATGTCCACAGGTTGCCGCAGAGAACACTTCCGGTTTCCTAACAGTTGGACTTCCTGCTGCTGCCCATCCTGGGGGGCAGGTCACTAAGTGTTAGCTTGGAAAGGCATGGGGCCATTTTTTTTTCATTGTTTGTATATGCCACACTTTGCGTATCCATTCTTCCATCCATAGGCACTTGAGTTACTTCCACATTTTGATTATTGTAAATAACACTGCTAAGAACATGTGTGTATCCATACCTCTTTGAGACCCTACTTTGAATTCTTTTGGGTGTATACCCAGAAGTAGAATTGCTGAGTCACATGGTAATTCTATTTTATATTTTTGAGGAACCACCATACTGTTTTTCATAGCTGATGCACCACTGGGCTATTTTATAAGTAGAATTATATTGTCTCATAGGGAATTTCCTGGCATCTAGTCGTTAGGACTTGGTGCTATGACTGCTGGGGTCCTGGGTTTGACCCCTGGTTGAGAAAATAGGATCCTGCAAGCTGCACAGTTGGGCCAAAAAAAAAGTAATTGTCTAGTAGGCTTTATTGCTTTGATGGGTGACAGACTTCACGTTTTTTCAGTTGCTTCAGTCTGTTTGAAACAATGCAATTTAGATGCTTAAGCACCAAGTCAGGTGATGTAGCAAGGAGAAGGGAAGGTTATTAGAGCCCATCTTAAGCTCTCAGGCTCTGGGTCAGTGGCTTCTAGGAAAAAGCAGGACACCTGTATCTGATTTGGCTTTGAAGAATGAAACCATCATTTTACTTGTGTTATTTTCTCTGCGACTGATGCCAGGGATAATTACGATAACATTTGGGTTGAACCGTGTCCCCGTCTTGTTTTCTTGTCAGTGGGATAGCTGGAGGGCAGGGCCTTGGTGCCCCCCGTAACCCTGCCTCTCATCGTCCCCTTCCCCCTTAGATCGTGACCAGAGGCTGCGAGACCGTGGAAATGACCCTGAGGAGGAACGGGCTGGGCCAGCTAGGCTTCCACGTGAACTTCGAGGGAATCGTGGCAGACGTGGAACCTTTCGGTTTTGCGTGGAAGGCCGGCCTTCGCCAGGGTAGCCGCCTCGTGGAGATCTGCAAGGTGGCCGTGGCCACACTGACCCACGAGCAGATGATCGACCTTCTCCGGACCTCAGTGACTGTGAAGGTGGTCATCATCCAGCCCCATGATGACGGCTCACCTCGGAGGTAAGTTTCTCATGCGTGAGCACTCCTCCTCGGCCTCGATGGCAGGTGCTGTCCTGTAAGACCCTCAGAATGTGAGGTCATGTGCATCTTCCATCTAAGTTGTTTGGACATCCACCATTAGCACAACTTAAAAGAGCTATAAAAAAATCATTAGTATATAAAAATGATAAACTCATTTTTAAGCTCTCCTTTGGTACATTGAAGCCATTGGATTCAGAATATTTATTTGCATGGGTGATGGAATATTGGGAAATCAGGTACACTGTTTGGTGACCACTCCATTCTGGCTGAACTGGTTCAGGGGTTTCTCATAAGCGATCATGGAAAACATAGAAGTGACTGGACTTGGAAAGCTCAGAGATGGATGGGTCTGAGGAATAGGGACAAGAGTGGAGTTAGAAAAGGATACTGTGGCATTGGAAATAGAAAGTTCTCAGGCTCAACATCACAGGAGTATTAGGCCCAAAGGAGAAAGAACAAGCCAGCCACCTGCTTTGGCCTGCCTTGTAAGGTAGGTAGTATGTATAGTGGTATCTGGAGCATCCTTTCTCTGCCTGCATCTCAAATGGAGGCCCTACCGGCCCCCCAAGAGCTCTGGCTTAGGAGGGATAAGCGTGCTTGAAATCCGGGCTTTAGCTATGTGATTTGGGGTTTGTCACCTGCTATTTCTTATTTTCAGTCACTCAGTTGTGTTTGACTCTTTGCAACCCCATGGATTGCAGTATGCATGCCAGGCTTCCCTATCTTTCATTGTCTCTTGGAGTTTACTCAAACTCATGTCCATCAAGTCAGTGATGCCCTCCAAACATCTCATCCTCTGTTATGCCCTTCTCCTCCTGCCCTCAGTCTTTCCCAGCATCAGGGTCTTGCTCTCTCTAAGCTTCACTTAGTATCTGTAAGATGGGGTTATTATATTGCCTACCTCATACTGTTGATGGAGGTTAAATAAGGTGATAATATGTAAAGCAATCTGCACCTCTGGCATAGTCAAAACCCCACACATCTAGTGAAAAACAAACACCCAAAAGACTGAATCTTTAGGATAGTTGTTTGAGTTTTTTCGTGCTGTAAGAGAAATTCATACTCCAAGATAACAGAATGACAGGGCCCTCCTCCTGATCTGTTTCTGGGGTAACTGAGGTCCCTGTTTGTGCTCTGTCCATCTCCTGTCTCCCAACCTCCAAATCAGCACCACAGAAGAGCAGTTTCTCTGATGACGTGTTCTATATCTGTACCATCTAAACAGTAGCCACTAGCCGCAGGGTAGCACACACTTGAAATGTGGCTAATGCAGCTGAGAAAATGGAGTTTTTATTTTAATAAATGGACTAAGACTGCATTAGCCACATCTGGCTTGTGGCTGCCATATTGATTGGGTGGTGTGTGTGCCTATGTGCTCCGTCACGTCTGACTCTTTGTGACCCCTTGGATTGTAGCCCACCTCTGTTCATGGGGTTTTCCAGGCAGGAATACAGAAGTGGGTTGCCATTTCCTACTCCAGGGTGTCTTCCCAACCCAGGGATCAAACTCAAGTCCCCTTCATTGGGAGGCTGATCTTTACCACTGAGCTACCTGGGGATACACCAGCTCTAAACCATGATCTTTTTTTAGAAAATAAGCCAGTGGTAAACCACTTTCCTCTATGGTTAAGGTACAGAATTTTACAAAACTGTGTTTCTGTTGCTTATCTTACTTTTTACTCCCTGCTTAACTTTCTATGGTCTGATTTCCTATATCTGCCCAATAAGGTTATAGAGTAAAGGTTAATGAGCTGAAATTTTCGAGAGTAGCAACCACCTGTCTCAGTAAATAACCAAGTTATTTCTTGTTGCCTTGCCAGATTCTGTCCCATTAAATTCATTTACTCCCCAAGAATCTTATGAATCACTCCTAGGAGTGTGAGTACAAGGAAATCAGAGACAAAAATTATTTTCCTAAAAACAAGACTTGGATATAACAGAAAGCAAATCCTTTAATCTTTGAAGCTGAAATATTTGTAAGTGAAAGTCTTTTAATAAATAGATTTTATTTTTTATAAATAAATTGTAAGCCACTTATTAGAAATTTTTCCACGTGGTAAGATTTTTTTCTTCACTGACTGGAGTTACAGATTTATAAATTTTGTGGTGAGAATCAAATTTTGTGCTGTCCTCAAGGTTGATTACTTCTATTGAATTTGACAAAACTGTTGCCATGTTCTCCTCAAATTAAAAAAAAGCAAAACATTTTTCTCCTATTTTTAGTTTTGGTCTGCTGTTACTCAGTAAGACTTTTTTTTAAGCTTCCAAGAGATATGGTTAATAAAAATGTTAGAGTTATCATTATATTTGGTATTTAAAACATATGATTTAGAAAAGTAGAATTTCTTAAGTAATGCCAAATTGTTTTTCAGCTAAAGCAAATAAAAGCTACCACTTAAAAGTTCTGCCTGCTGTTTTTCTATCCAAGGATTTGTTATCTGCTTTGGTCTGCACATAATTAATTCTTTGTTTGTTTTAAATGTAAATTCTCTTACTAAAACTGTTCAAGATATTTAGAGATTTTGCCTTTGTCTCCTCAGAATCTCCTTAATGTCATTCCCTGAAGATACAGATTTTTCTCCTGATTAATCTGAAATACCTATCTTCTGTATTTTTTACCTTAGCCAGGATGAGAATGATCTGTTTTCCTGATAGTGACTCTCCAGAAATGGTCCACCTATCATCCACATTTCCACAAGTCAGGAAGCTTTTAAGCCTAGCATGTATCATTTAAGGTGCTTTCACTTCAGGCTTCCAATTTTCTGTGAATTTGTATCTGTAAATTTGCAGATCTACATTGTTGTTAGTTTTGGATTCGTGTTCTGTGCCAGCAACTCTCTGGACACCCTGATAAAAGGACTCATCATTATCCGACAGCCTTACGTCACTGAAATTATCCTTGACATGACAGCCCTTTGCTTTAGACTCTCATGCTGAGCATGAGGGCTTCCCGGGGGCAGTAGTGGTAAAGAATCCACCTGTAATGCAGGAAACATAAGATGCAGTTCGATCCCTGGGTTGGGAAGGTCCCTGGGAAAAGGACATGGCAGCACACTCCAGTGTTCTTGCCTAGAGAATTCCATAGACAGAGGAACCTGGCAGGCTACTGTCCCTGGGCTCACAGAGTCAGACATGACTAAAGTGACTGAGCATGCACACATGCATGCCGAGTATGAAATGTCTTACCTTTCATCCCCACCCTAAGCAAGTTTGGGCTTCCCTGTTTTCTCAGAGGGTAAAGAATCTGCATGCAATGCGGGAGACCTGGGTTGGATCCCTGAGTTGGAAAGATCCCCTGGAGGAGGACATGGCAGCCCAGTCCAGTATACTTGCCTGGAGAATCCCCAGGATGGGAGTCTGGCGGGTTACAGTCCGTGGGGCTGCAAAGAGTCAGACGCAACTGAGCAACTCAGCGCAGCACAGCTAAGCAACATCAGCCTCTGCATCATCAGATTTTATCAATGACACTGTAGAGGAGGGTATAAAAGAGGAAATGAGCAATGCTCCACTCATTTTGAAAATTAAAGTGCAAACCTTTTGTAAACTTAATTTTTATTTTATATTGAATTATAGTTGATGTATTAAATACAATGTTGTGCTAAGTTTCAGGTGTACAGCTAAGTGACTCAGTTATTGATATACATATATCCAGATTCTTTTCCCGTTTAGGTCATTGCAGACCTCTACAGAGTAGAGTTCCTTGTGCTGTACAGTAGATCCTTGTTGATCAAGTACAAACCTTTTAAATGAAGTATCACTTAGTACCTTTATTCCTATGCAAAATATATAAAGATGGCCCTTTAGGTAAAAGTACTCTTTTGATTTGTGGCATGGGAAAAGACCCCATCTTTCACAAATTGGCTTACTTGTCAGCGAGGTGGCCAAAAGAAAATATTAATTTAAATGGACGTGTGTGTAATTTTTCCTTTTAAGTTGTCTTTAGTATAAGAGCCATAGGACTACTAAAATGGCCAAGTTCATGAACTGCAAGATATTTCAGCCTTTATAAACATCATGAATAATAGAGTGAAAAATGCTTCGGTTAATTTTTGCCATTTGTCAGCTTTTTTTTTTTTTTTTTTGTCCTGCACAATATCAGGGAGAAGAAATTCTCCCCAGAGCCCATCTGCTTCTGTCAGGAGTGGGAGAGGCCTGTCATTTAATAGACTCGCTCCTAGTTGTCTGCAGGTCAGAAGGCATTTGCTTATGACTCAGAAGCTGCTGAATTAAATGAAGTCTTTAGTTGGGAAAGTATTTATGTGGAATCAAAAGGCATCCCACGTTTTGAAGTCCTTTTCTCAAGCCTCGGGGTGATGATAACTCAGCTGTCCCCAGGCTTGAAAGGAAGGCAGAGCCCAATTTTATTTTCCTTGTGGAGTTCCAGGAGCATGGAGCAGGAAGGTTCCCTCTGGGAATGCTTATTAGCTGATGTCCTGCTGCGACTGGATCTGGGAGAGGCCTCAGAGAGATTGGGAATGTGTGGCCAGGAGCAGTTAGGGACTACTGCTCTTCAAATGGAAATGAGGTTTGCGAGGGAGTGAGGGCTTTTCCCAAGCAGGCAGTCTCTGTGGCAGAGATGAGGAAGAGTTTCCAAGACGCTTAATTAAGCATTTCTTGGTTTTGCAAGGCAGGGCATGGCCTCAGTCCCTAGCCTTCAAAGGTGACTGACATTCTGTGAGTGTCATTTTAAGGAAAATGCATCAACTTAAAAGGCTGATATAAAGGAAATAACAGCTCATCAGAATTATGCATGAGTTGTGATACAATGTGAGTGATTTAGTAAATATGTCCAATAAAAATGGAAATGAAATTCCATGCTGCGGTGCATCTGTTTTGTGTGATTTTTCATACTTCGTTGATATACTGGCCAAGACGTATTTTTTTATATAATGCAAAACAGTGGAAATTATCTCATGTTGTCATGAAGCTAAATTCTTGTTCTCTGATCATTCTGTAACATTGAACCCATAGCCGCCAGGA